ATATATAGACCACTCTTTCAGAAGCACATTTGTGAGGTCCTACACTGATGTTAGATGATAAGGCTTTGCCTGTAGTCTCGGCTGTAATTCATCCCAACAATGTTCTGTAGGTCTGAGGTCAGGACTCTGTACAGCCCAGTCAAGTTTATCCACTGAAGAATTCCAATCAATGTCCTTATGGACCTTGCTTTGTGCACTGGTGCACAGTCATGTTGGAAGAGGTAGGGGCCAGCTCCAAACTCTTTGCACAAAGTTGAGAGCATTCAATTGTCCAAAATATCTTGGTATCTTGGCCAGGCACAGCTCCTTCATAAATATATCCCCAGACCATAATCCCCCTCCACCAAACTTTATATTTTGCACAAAGTATTCAGACAAGTGCCGTTCTCCTGGCAACCACCAAACCCAGACTCATCCATCAGATTTCCAGATAGAGAAGTGTGGTTTTTAACTCCAGAGAACACATCTTTACTGCTTTGGAGCCTATTGGCAGTGTGCTTTACACTACTGCATCCAATGTATTGCACTTGGTTATGTATGGCTGGGATGCAGCTGCTCGGCAATGGAAACTCCTTCCTTGAAGCTTGTGCGCACTGTTCTTTAGCTAATCTGAAGGGCACATGACATTTAGAGGTGTGTAGAGATTAACTCTGCAGATTCCTTTTGCACACGCCTTTGTGAGTAACTACACTCTTAGTAAAGATTCCACGCAAACTGACAATTGAGACCACAGGCCTTTGGTATTCACCATATCTAAGGTCCTATATCATGCTTTTTTTCTTTTAATCCTTCCAAAGTAAACTATAGTTATAAGAATAAATATTTACTTGGACACTGCAGAGTATCAAAAATACACCATCTCTCACTGTGTGGGTGCCACACATTTCATGATGTCCCCATATCAAACCACTTCTGTGGTTTAAGCTCGTTTTTAAGTAGGTGAAACAAATTCAGACGCCTCTCACTCAACTAAAAAACACATTTTCACTATTAAGACACCAGTTAAAGCAACAAATGGTAGCTGTCACTGCTCAAAGAAGTTGCTTTAACAGCCACTTCACCTCAACTTTGAGCAGAAATAACCTTGTGTATCTTCACATCTCTTA